GGGGGGGGGGGGGGGAAGATGGAGTAACGACAACAAGAAGTGTATACACACATATATATATCGGGCGTGAATGAATGTGGATGCAAGTTGAAATGGATGGAAAAAAAAAAAAAAAGGAGGTGGTGGGGGAAAGGGGGGATGGAGGCGTAGGGACCACCACCAAAATATACAAACGAAGAGTTTCAATATATTATAATACCAGTTTAAATAATACGGCACTTGTGGGGATGTATGCTCCATGTGTGTGTGTGTGTGTGTTTGTGTACTTAAAGTCAATTTATTTTTGTTGGTTGAGGAGGTGGTGGTGTGAACGAAAGAATTGACTTCTCCCTTCCACTGTCCTTTCGTAAATACGCCTGCCTAGACATTGGTAGACAACACCTCTTTCTCTCTTTCTCTCTCTCTCTCTTTTTTTTTTTTTTTTCTCTTTCTTCTTTCTGCTTTCTTGTTACAAATTGCCACAAGGCCACTGCTCGTATGACGATTGCCTCGCCGTAACAAGTTGATGTTGTTGGGAGTGAGAAAACAACCGAGCGGCTTCTTTAAGTTTTATTTTATTTTTCTTTTTCTTTCTTGTGTGTGTGTGTGTGTGTGTGTCCGTCTGTCTCTTATGCACACGTTCGCTCTATATCTTAATGGAGTTTCTGCATCTCACGCAGCCATTTGACGAAACTTCCTTTCTTTTTGAGACCTTTTTGCCACACTCACCGCAATTTTGCATGCCTTTTCACGCATTCATCCATTTACATGTATTTTGCATACGTGTTTGGGAATGTGCCCTTGTCTCCAATTACGTTTTCTATATTCCCTTTTGTTGTTGTTGTTGCTTTTTCCCTGCTGGTCTGCGTGGCGCGGAAGAGAGGGAGAGAGCGCGAAATCCAAGGAAGGATTGGGCCGATAGAGGTGTCTCAAGGAACAGAGATACACATTTTAGAGGCGACGTCGGTGTTTAACTAAGGCGTTAGGTGGGGGGGGGAAAAACAGAGAAAAACGAAGGAGAGGAAGAAGGGACAAACAAAGAAAGGGGCCTTCTACCCAACCGTCGACGGTTTCAGGAAGACAGGTCATTGAGATACAGCAATCTTTTGCCTTTTCCCTTTTGATTTTTTCTCTGCTTGTTTGTGTCTGTCTGTCTGTGTGTGCTGCCGCCCGAATGCCATCTCTGTCCCGCAGGCCTCTGGCCATAGGAAGTGAGGCGGAGGAGGGGAGCTCAACGCTCATCAATGAACAGGAACAGCGACAGCAGGCATGTCCCCCGGGGCAAACCCCACCGCTCGTTGGTAGAAGTAACAGCCACTATGGCGGTTGCATGAGCAGGAATGACTACCACTCGGAGCTTCGCAATTATTTTTACTCCGCAGGGATTCCGGCTATTTTTGATGCCCTCTCCACGGCCCTGTTGGAAGAAAAGCCAGAGGAGCCCGTCGATTTCATCCTTTCTTGGTTTCGGAGAGAGCGGGAACGGGTACTGACAAATGCTGAGGAAAAAAATATGTATAATAGTAACGATGGATCCAGGAGTTGCGATGACAGTAGTAAAGATGAAAGCGGAACATCTCCGACGTTGTCATTGTCGGAAACACAATTGCCACTTTAATCAAAGGTAGCGGTATATTGTCATTTGTATGACAGGAAGAGAGGGGTTACTATGAATTCCTTTCTCTCTCTCTCTCTCTCTCTCTCTCTCTCTCTCTCTCTCTCTCTCTCTCTCTCCTCTTGTTTTTTCGTGTGCATGAAGTGGGAGAAGAGGAAAGAAGGAAAGAAAGAATATAGGTGAGCTTACATGTATACAAAACTATGTCATTTTTGGAGTCTTGCGTTTCATTTCTCGTGAGATTTTTTTTTTTTCTTCTTCTTCTTTTTGTTGTTGTTGTTGTTGTTGTTGTTGCATTCATTACGCAACCGGTTTCAACTTTCAAATCACGTCCAGTATTACACATGATATGTATATATATATATATATATATGCATGCACGTGGTAGATGTTACTTTTTGCTTTTCCCAGACGTTGAAATTGCGTGGGGTTTGATTGTAATAACAGGGGAAAGGGGGAAAGGGAAAGGGACGGAGTCGATAATGAAGAAATAAATAAATTAATTTAAAAAAAAAAAAGAAAAGGAGAAGAAAAGAAGAAAGAAGAAGAATTATTTTGAAATCGTCGAGAAGAAGTTTTTTCTTTTTTTTTTTATCTGCAATTATAAATGTATTTATTTATTTATATTTAATTTTTTTTTTTTCTTATGTGTATGGGCGTGTGTGTGTGTGTGTTTGTGTTTTGCTGCTGGAACGGCAGGAAGTTTTCTTTGTTGTTGCTTTTTTTTTTTTTTTTTTTTTTTTGGAGTCACCGTGTTGGAAGGCAGCGAGGGTATTTTTTTCTTTTTAAAGGACCCCTCATTATCCATCTCCCTCTTTTTTTTCTTTTTTTTTTTCTTTTCTTTTTTTGGCCTCCCTCACTTTCTGTCTCCTCAGCGAGCCCCGTTATCGTCGATTGCGGCATGAACTAACCGCTGCACCGACGGGTTGGTGTATCTGTGTGTATGTGTGTGTGAGTGTCCGTTGTGTATGTTTTGGATGAACCTTTTCTGGTGCGTGAGGGGATTTTGAGGGAAACTGAACACGAACTGTCATCTTCCATTGCTCTGCCCTGTGTCTCTTTGTAGGAAGAAGGGAGAGGAGGCCTCGTACAGGTGCATATTGGCGGTCATATTATTTCCCCCTTGCTTGTTGGCAGGAAGGAGACGTGTATATACATTGGCCCACGATGACTGCCATGGAGCCGTACTCCTTTGCCACGGTGCTGGGGGATGTTTTTGGCCGCAGTGTGATGCATGCGGAGAAACGACCGTATGTGCCGAAAGGATCGCGTGTACACGTGAGCTTCACCACGGCAACGACAACCACTCAATTGCAGGCGTCTCAGCAACTTGGCATCCCGCGCCGAGTCAAGAAGGAACGAGAAGATGACGACAAGGGTGATAAGAAGGGGGAAACACGTCGAGAAGCAGAGGCGGTCGATGACAATCTCCCCGTCCCTGTGGCATTGACGGGACTCATCTCAACCGATCCATCGGATGGCAAATGTCTCATCCGCCGCACCGCAACGGACGGCGACGATGGCGGGACCCTTTGGGAGTCCAAAGTCATACCTTCGGGCAAACGAATTGGCTGCATTCAAATTGCTCCGGACAGTCGTGCGGGGATGCTGCAGGTTCTTCCTCATGCAGCTGTGTTTCCCTCACCGTTGCTATACGTTGCAGACACGGTAGGGAATGTTTACGCCGCCACACTCCCCGCTTCATCCGTAACAGCGGCTGGCGTCGAATCACCCGCGAAGCGGCCGCGTCAAGAAAAAGTCAACAGAAGCCCCTTTTGGGGACTTATTGTTCCTGCCACGACGTCTGACAGCGAAATTGCACACGGAGCCTGCGGCTGGTGTGGGATAGTACCTTTTTTTTCTCAGCAACTTGTCTGCTGCAGGGAATTTTTCTTTGATATCCGTCTTGTGGACGTGCCAGCTGAAACTGTTGTGCGACAATATGGCACAATACAGCCTGCCACTGGCACCACCGCCTGCCCCGGAATTCCACATGGCGTTGTGGTGGCTGAAGGGCCGGTGGCTACGCTGTACGATATGCGCTGCCCCGGCGCTGCAATTACCCTGAAGACGGACCCCAAGCCGGATATTTCACTTGTCACTAGTCGCCTAACGAGTCCCACGTCGTACGTAGCGGATGTATGTTCTACATGCAATGAGTACGAAGTTGCTGCGGCGGTTGGTCGCTCACTTTGTGTATATGACGTGCGCAAGTGGAGTTGTGTGAGTGTGAGCACTAATATTCTCAAATACGAAATCGGTTCTATTGCCCCATTCGCGTCGGGCAAAGCTGTGGTTGTCGCTGGGATTGACGCGGAGGTGCGGATTGTTCCATTGCAAAAAGCTTCTCCTGTTGCAGCTGCTTCTGCGCCGACTCATGCTGGTGG